ACACACACACACACACACACACACGCACAAATACAGACATACATACACACACACACACACACACACTCACACACACACGCACGCACACACACACACACACACACACACACACACACATACACACAGTGAAGGTAGACAGCAAGTCTAACATGATTTTTAATTTTCATTTCATTTTCAACAGAATAACTCTCTTACCCACTAGTTGAATCCTCCACATCTTTCACAAACGTTCCACCTTGATGCTTGCAGATGTTGCGGCAAGCCTTGTACGGTTCCTCGGAGTTCCTTGGGTCCTATGAGATTAACAAGATTTTGCTGTAAATCTATGTATTAAACGTTATTTCGTCATGAAGTGATGATGATATAAATGTATGCTCTTTTAAGTTTTTCCTTGCGCATGGAGAAACAAACTTCACATACATCTACGTCTACGTATGCTGAGGTCACATTTCCAAACCGGTGCCGGTCGGGCTGTTTGCATCAGGGAAAAATAAACAATTCAATTCATTCATATTAAGATTATAACACAAATAATACTCATGATTAGTTTTTAAAACGTTTTGTGTTTTCTTCTCTTTTATATTGTACTTTTCGTTCCAGAAAGTTGCTAGGCCGGGCTCCAGTTTGGAAATGTGACATCAGCATGTAAACATACACTGAGCCATGCCCAATTTTTCAATAGTGAAGGGCTAGTCTTGGGTGTATGTTTTTTGTAGACTACACAAAATACAACAAATAGAATAAAATAGATACAACTAAACGTTAACAATGATATTTCACTTGTTATATTACCGCCCTCCTGCGTAACACACCAGCTTTGCAGGCACGCGGCGCAGTGGCAGCTGGCTACATTACACCGATCGACTTGTTACATCAAACCTCTAAACATCTAACTCAAAAAATTGTTTCAAGCTATCTGATTATAATTCCCCTACTGTACTTGGTGACAGGAAGTTCACTCTGTGATAATTATTGAACAGATAAATCCTTGGTTGATAATACTGGTACTTTTAGGCAATTTCCTTATTTATGGTTCTGGTACCTTCAGGAAATGCCTGTGTTAGACTTGCCCAGTGCTTTTATTAGTACCATCTTCTACGGATACAAACCTTGTAAATGATATAGTTGTTGCCTTTTTCCCTACGGATCAGGTTAACCCCTGTCACCAGGGCGGCGGTTTCTCCGGTAGTTAACCTTAACACCTCCACGCTCCGCTGCTCCATCTATACCCTGCAAACAAGTTGAGACAAAACAGGAAAAGTTAAGACCCTGTCACACATTCAGAAATTTCTCCTCCCAAAAACTAGCCCGATGCCCCGTGAACAAGGTTGGGAGTTTTAAAAATGGCCCTGTACAAAGCATAGGGGTGGTGCCCGTTTTCATTTATATAGCCCATGGGCCACACAGTTGTGCAAGAAGGGGGCTAGTCCACTGGTAGCGTTGTGTGTTTGACCTTTCCATAGTCTTTCTTATAGTGCTAGCAGAGAAAGCAGTATGTACCAGTCTTTGGTATGACAAGGTCGGGGTTAGAACTCACGCGACCTCCCGGTGACAAAGTGAGCACTCCACTTGACGTTCGGTCATGGTTGGCTGGTAGTCGGCTGCAAGTCAGCAGAACAACAGCCAACCATTCGGAAGTACGTCAGCAATGTTCGGGGCGCGTTTGGTGGTCAAATTTGACTCGGGGGCAATGTCGGGGGAAGGTTCTGAATGTGTGTGACTTGATTGTGCATGCGGTTCAACGATATGCGCCCTTACAGGAAGGCTGAACATTTCGCATTGGGCAGAAGTATAAAAATGTTAAGAATGCATCAAGTTGTCTCCTATCAAATCACAGTGACAAGTATGCTCTCTGGTTGAATGGAACGGGTCAGAGGCGATGAAACATGAGACATAGAGGTTTGCTTTCACCTGGCAAAGAAAACAGACGGCTATTAAAAATTTAGAAAATTGAAGTCACAAGGCTCGAACAACGCTTAAAGGCATCCAGTGCAATATCCGGGTGGCAAAATGAAAAAAAAAAAACAGACGAAAAGCGTTGAAATAGCTCCAAAAACAAGCTACTTTGGACGTCTCTTTATTTCATTTTCTTTGGGGGGGTGGGGACCCATAAATTGCTAGAGCCAGCCTACAATACGAAGCAAGCAACCATTTTCAGTCAGCAACATTGCATTTTTGATTCACAGATATCAGTAATACGTCGGAGAAACTTGCTTAAAAATGACTAGAAAACTGACTTTGAATTCCAGTTTTCCTTCCCCTAAAAGCTCTTTAATGCGTATATTTCTTACCTACCCCCTACCACCAACCAACCAACCAACTAATCTTAGCTAAAGTTCGGTAGCTATAGCACTGTGACAAGATTTAGGCCACACTTACCTTTCTATATATGCCTTTTAGCCAAGGGGTATATGAACGATCACCAGGCCGCCAGGAACGCTAAGTCAGGCTAACCGATATTGCTCCTGACCTATTCCTAATCCTATCATGTTTTTTTCTTTTGGCGGCAGTGTTCGGGAGGCCATATTCGGCTATGTTTGGCTTTAACCACGAATCTCCCTTTTCACCAGTTTTTAGAAAGTACATAGAAAATGGCAAACGGCAGAAGTAATTCCAGAGTTCAAGGCTGTTGCTATGACAGCTTTGATCACGCTATGTGGTTATTGATATCAGAGCTTCCCTTGTTTTTATATTTCTATCAACACAGCAAAAACAAACTATGTCAGAAAACTAAACTCCCTGTCGTACTTTGTTTGCAATATGATCACCTACCTCTTTAGCAGTCGAGTAGGTCGAGAAGAGCGTTATACGCTCTGTCGGGATCTTGAAAAGCCCCTGTCACACATTCAAAACCTTCCCCCGACCTTGCCCCGATCGCAAACACCTGTCGACCACGTTCGTGAGCAGTCTGTCCAGACGTAAGCAACACCAACCATTATATACGAACGGAAAGGAATTTGACTGAACTTTGAGTAAAATTTGATCCCCAAAACTCTCCTTATGTACACACAAGTAACATCATATTCTGATGTATGCATTTAGCCCTATGGCCATGAACGTGCAAATAAAGATTCACCAGACAGCGCCGACTACGACGAGAATCCTACTGGATCCACCAGCTCAGAACTCTACACCCAGACGGCCTGAACCAAGAATCCCTAGAAATCACCAGGGTATGAAGAGCACCAAGAACTTCGTCGTGACCGGCACCCCGAAGAACATTCAATCACCACATCAGCTGGTCACTAGTATCCTACCATGTCACATGGAACGGATCCGAGGTACTACCGACTCACGCCCGGGGAACACTCTACAAGGGACAACTGGACTTCACGCCGTCATCACACCAACAGCTAAGATCGTCACATAGATCTGATTTACTTTAGATTGTCTCACATAGCCTCTGTACAAATGCTCATTTAGCCGTACCGCACTCCTCATGATTGTTTTCTATCTTTTGAATTTCCCGCCTAATGATGATGTCATAGAACGAAGCGCCACCTACATGTTAGAACAAGTATTGCAGGCGCAAGGGCATCTAGCACCTGGGCTGCAAAGTTCCCACATGTCATAGAATCCGAACTGTGTTCGATCGTGTTCGATCTGGGCAATTCGAATCGAACCCGCGTTCTATTTCGGGGTCACCTGCGGTCATTTACAATAAAGCGGCAAAACAAGCCTTTCTGCCCCCGTGCCTTGCAACAGATAAAAAAACAACACTTTTCTATAGATACAAACAGTTTCCCGGACAGTACATGCCCGCTATCATTTTTGTGGATCTGTAACATGTAGTGAAGCTACTGTCGTATCCTTGGGTGACCTTGAATACTGTAATAATTCTTTACACCAGTATGAATAACACAATGCAGACTTCTGGTCGACATGACACGTCTGCAAACCTCGTTTTAACCTGCAAGCATGGCGAGTCAAGCATACCCCATTCACGGCTCAAAATGACCGTAAAGTTTGTCCCGAAAATCGTGTTTTAGGGATTTTTTAAAAATGGCCTCAATTTTGAATTATGGGTAATCTAGTGCGAAAAATGTAAAAAAAAATATCATTTTTTCACCAATATGTCGACAAAAACTAGACTTCAAATCAGAAATTGAAAAATCCCTAAAACACGATTTTTGATCTTATTCCTAGTCGTCGAAAAATGTAAAAATCGGGGATCTGGGGTGATAAATGTAGCCCGGTTTAAAACGATGTTTGCCTAAAAACATGGCATGACTTGTGGTCGGAAACCCGAAAGAAATTGTCTTTCGGAGCGAAATTTTGAAAAATCAATGATTTAACATAATCAGCTAATATTAAAAGGATGTTAAGGCAATAATTTCATTTTAATTTGACGAAACTTACCATTAAATCCTTTTTGTTTATTTTCAAGTGTTTTCCTGGTAGTCCAGAATAGGCCAAAATAGCGTCTTGTAACCCGATACCTTTTAGAACGCGCCTAGCAATGGGAAAGAATGCCGTAGTGACAGACCGCCGTGCTGATTGGCCCATAAGGACAATCACCATCGAAACGGGCCAGGATTGGTCAGGAGAACAAAGGAAATCGCTCAGAGCGCCCTGACCTATTTGAACAGCGTAACCGCTGAGTCATCACCTTTCTAGCCGCTGATTGGCTAACTCTAGTCAGTGCAAAACGAGATACTGTAAGCTGATTGGTTAGCTCCTAGAGCGCCCTGCCCTGAGCTAAGTAACAGGCAGGGCGCCCTGACCTTACTGTGATAGAAGAGTATAAAAGGCAGTGCGGTACAACTCTTGTCATTTCTGATGAAGACTTTGGAATAAAAAGTCGAAACCGGTAAAATTGATAGTCTCAGCCGTCATCCTTCTGACGAACTATTGACTGTGCAAATAAAGATTCAGTTATTCAGTTAATGTTGGTGTTCTGCCGACTTACAACCGAATACCACCCAATCATGTCCGAACCTCCCAACCTACTCCTGAATGTTTTTAACATTTAGAAACATTCGACTGAAGCAGCAGAAACACAGTAACCCTGCTACAGTCGACCTGGCCCAACACCAGCGGACCCAGAAGACTTTGCGCCGAAGTCCTCCCAACTATGTTTGCGGAAGTTCTGCTAGTGTCCTGGAGGCCGAATTCTGAATGTGTGACAGGGTCTTTACGGGGTAAAATACCTTTAACAATATAAGACATGGTCGCCAGGCCACCGTCACGGGGATGATGTAAATCTAACTATCGGGGGCCAAGTGTTGCAAAAATAAACAAACATGTGGAACACTTTTATCTCCCACAGAAAGAGCTAGAAAATATCTCAAACACAGAAGACTTTTAAGACTTTTTTATTAACTCCTTGGACAGATATAAACATACAGTTCTCATTAAAGATATTAAAAACAAGCCGCCGAGAAAAGGTTTCCATTTGCCACGGATCAAACCTCCACGCAGTATCAAAACTCCCACCCGCCCGGGGCCTGCACAGGAGGCTATCGAACTTGACGAGGTCCTACAATCAAACTATGGACTAGTGCCCATTACAGGTTATTGCAGATTTTTAGGCAGATTTCTCTGTTACTTAGAAGTTCGCAAGGATTTCTTGCCTAGCCTAGCCTCGGACACAAATGCTGGAAACCCGGCCAGTTTTAGCAACTACCGGTCCTGTACTAAAACAATAATTTCATCCGCTCCATACATCTCCCAAACAAGATTTAGAAATAGCGAATTCCTCAATATTATGTCATTCCATTGCAGGTTATTTCAGACTTTTAGGGCGAATTCTCTGTTACTTAGAAGTTCGCAAGGATATCTTGCCTAGCCTAGCCTCAGACACAAATGCTGGAAACCCGGCCAGGTTTAGCAAATACCGGTTCTGTACTAAAACAATAATTTCATCCGCTCCATACATCTCCCAAACAAGATTTTGAAATAGCGATTTCCTCAATATTATGTCAAGTCAAGTCAAGTCAAGTCAAAGCCTTTATTTTTCTTCGAAATGCTTGTTCGGCGCAAGGCCGCTTTTCAACAAGGTCGAAGTTGAGGGGAGGGGTCACGGATAAGAACCAAATCCATACAAACATAAATAATAAGTAATTAAATCAATACAATAAGTAAATGAATAAGTTCACAAATAAATCATTAGGTTCGTAGCCAATTTAAGTCCATGGTGAGTCCCAGTTATGTCTGATCCATAAGTGACTTGAAGGTATGGATGGATGGTGCTGCCCTAATGTGGGGCTGGATGTTATTCCATACCACTGAGCCGGAGTAAGCCAAGCTTCTTCTGTAAGCTTCCAAGTGCGGCCTCGGAGGGATGAGACAGTCAGTAGAAGCTGATCTGGTATTCCGTGCCACTTCATCCCTTCTCAGGCTGAAGACTCGTCTCATGTATGGTGGTAGTGCATTTCTCAAGGCCTTATACACCAGCAGAGCTTTTTGCTGTTGATGTATAGTCTTCACAGTCTTCCAACCAAGGCGCGAGTCGTCCTATTGTAGGTCATTGCAGACTTTTAGGGCAAATTCTCTGTTATTTAGAAGTTCGCAAGGATTTCTTGCCTAGCCTCGGACACAAATGCCGGACGGGTCACACGCACGCCTACAGCACGTTACTTAATTTCAGAATTCGTCCTTTTTTTTCTCGCACTGTAAGCTTGGCAACATTTTATTAGCCGAAGACATCACACATTATGAACCTAAGTATTTTGTATTCCTTAGTAACAATATATTTGAAATCCCTTAAAACTTTTAAGGTCTCATTACTATTTTGTGGTGTATCTATTTAGAGTAAACAGAAGAGACGCTCGGAACCAAAGTTGGACAAACGAAACCTTCCCAAAAACAGCATCATCTATTATAACCTGGCCTCCTTGATAGTATATATATCGCCTAATTTTGCTTGATTTTTTAATTACAGCGATCAGGTGGTGTTTTAATGTAATGAATACCTTGAAATACTGACTGAAGTAACTAGCTGGGAAGCATTTTGTATGGAAATTATGTAGCCATTGCAGCAAGATTCTTCTGTACATGTTTTTTTTTTAATGTCTATTGTTTTATTGTGAAATGCCAGGATGGTCCCAAGCTACCTAACAATGGCTGTCTTGGCACCCCCGCCAATTTACATTAGGCAGACAATTAGCATTTAATTGGAGCCGCCACCGGCTATGTAAATTATGACCCAAAATACTAGTAAGCCAATCGTCTCATACCTCGCATAAAACGACAGCCAATCAGTGCTTATGATACAAATTTCAAATCTGTCAGTTGGAGTGGACGTCACTCTATGTTTAAGCATTGCAGAGTGTGCACTGTGAATCTAATCTTACCGTTCTATAAAATGTCCACGGTTTCTGG